CAGTTAGGCCCTGTTGCCACCTAGTGGATTCTAAGTGGGAATACACACCAATGCACCAACTTCTCATCTTTTTGCTTACAGAACAAACCACCGGATGGGACTTCAAATTTAAAGTAGAAGGAAAGCTTACATCTATCTAGAAATACACTTGGGTGGTTTAAGATTATACAAAAAAAAAAAAAAAAAACTAATGCAGATTTAGACAAGAGGAAATGTACCTAAAATAACAAGTCAAAGAAAAATCTTGGAGACAGTGTGGCAGTGAGGTTAAGACATAGGCTTTGGCTTTTAGGAACATGATCATAAAAATCCATAATAAAACACTATTAAATTGAATTCAGTAAGATATGAAAATTATAATATAGCATGACTAGATGATTATAAATAAAGCTGGTTCAACTTTCAAAATTCAATTAGTATAATTCACATTAACAATCAAAATATCAAGATGCAGGAATATCAAAAGTTGAAAAGTTTTATAAATATTCATGATAAAAGCTCTCAAGCTGATAAAGAGCATCTATAACTGGATACAGGTGTAGCTCAATATCAGAGCACTTGCCTGGCATGTATGAGGCCCCTGATTCAATCCCCAGTATGGGGGGGTGTGGGGAAGAGCATTTAAAAAAAAAAAAAAAACTTATTTACAAAGCTACAGTAATTGATACATGTAATACTGACATAAAGTCAATGGAACAGAGAGCCAGGGAAGAAACACTCATATATATGGACAAATGATTGGGCAAGGGGTTGAGGGCTGGGGGTTGCTGGGAGTTTTAACCCACAGCCTTGCACATGCTGAGCCAGGCCAAATGAATTTTGACAATGTTTCCTTATTCAATGAGGAAAGAACAATCTTCCTAACATAAATCTAGTAAAACTATATTCCATGTAAAAGAATGAAGTTGAACCTTACCTTATACCACAAGCTAAAATTAGTTCCACATCAAAGACTTAAAATACAAAAGCCCAAACTATAAAACTTAAAAAAAAAAAAGTTCCATGGCATTGGATTTGGCAATGGTTTCTTGGCTATGATACAAAAAGCACAGGTAGCAAAAGAAAAAAAAATAATTGTACATCAAACAAAAACACTCCAGGGCTAGGCTCAGTAGTAGAATACGTTGCTTAACATGCAGGAGACCCCGAGTTTGATCTCCAACACAAAAAACAAACAAAACAAGAAAAAATTTAAACTCCTGTGGATCAAACATAACCAACAAGACAAAACTACAACCTGTAGGATGGGAAAAAATATTTGTAAATCATATATCTGATAGATAAGGGGTTAATAACCAGAAATACTGAAAGAACACCCCCCTAGGGAATCTAATTTTAAAAACAGACAAAAAACTAGATTGACATTTCTCCAAACAAGATATACAAATGGTCAATAAGCACATGAAAAGATCAACATCATTAATCATTAAAATGTACATCAAGGGACTGGGGTTGTGGCTCAAGTGGTATCGAGCTGCCCTAGGACTGGGGATGTGGCTCAAGTGGTATCGAGCTGCCCTGGGACTGGGGATGTGGCTCAAGTGGTATCGAGCTGCCCTGGCATGCGCGGGGCACTGGGTTCGATCCTCAGCACCACATAAAAATAAATAAAGATATTGTGTCCACCTAAAACAAAAAAAATAAATATTTTTTTAAAAATGTACATCAAAAACACAGAAAGTATTGATAAGGATGTGGAGAAACTAATACACTTGGGCACTACTGGTAGGAATATAAAAATGGTGAAGCTAGCAGGTAAACAGTATAGCACTTCCTCAAAAATTGAAAATAGAATTACTACATGGTCCAGCAAGTCTACTTCTGGGTCTAGACCCAAAAGAATTTATAGTAAGGACTCAAAAGAGTTACATCCATGTAAACCCATGTTCAGAGCAGGATTATTCATAACAGCCAAAAGTTGGAAGAAACACAAAGTGTCCATCAATGATGGGTGAATGAATAAACAAAATGGGGTATATATAGATGATATTATTATTCAGCCTTAAAAATTCAATTCTAACAATACTGATATACAATACTGATAAACCTTGAAGACATTATGCTAACTGAAGTAAGCACAAAGGACAAATACTACATTACTGTATTTATATGGGATACCCAGAGTAGTCAAATTCATAGAGGCAGAAAACAAAAACTTGCTACAAAGCTATAGTAATCAAAACAGTGGTTCTGACATAATAACAGACATATAAGCCAATGAGTTAGGGAGCCTAGGCAAAAGCCCTCACATATATGGACATTTATTTTTATTTGTACATTTGACAAACCTGAGGGGAATGGGTATTTACAATTCTTTTTAGATGAACCCAATGCCTTTATTTTATTTATTTTTATGTGGTACTGAGGATCGAATCCAGTATCTCATGTGTGCTAGGAAATGCCCTACCACTGAGCTAAACCCCCAGCCCAGGTATTTACTATTAATGGGTACCAAGTTACAGTTTTGCAAGATGAGAAGAATTGTGTGTATGGACATTGGTGATGACTGCACAATTTATATGAATGTATTCAATGCCACAGAACTGCACACTTGAAAATAGTTAACATGGTATAAATGTTATGTGTATTTTACCAGTTTTAAAAATAAAAGAAAACCCTATAGAGTTAACATCATACTTAATAGTGAAATTGAATTCTTTCCCCTCAAGATTAAGAACAAGGCAAGAATGTCATTCTCATCACTTCTATAAACCACTGTACTGGAAATCTTAGCCAATGCAATAAAGTAGGAAAAATAAAAGTCATAAACATCAAAAAGGAAGACATAAAACTGTCTTTATTCACAGAAGTACACATCGCAAGATATACAAGTCCCAATGAGTTTATTTCTTAAAAGTTAGAAGAGCTAGTAAACAAATTTAACAATGTCATAGGATATAAACTCAACACACAAAAACCAATAGCATTTCTATACACTAGAAAAAAACAGTTGGAAAATAAATGTTAAAAACAATATGATTTATTGTAGTATTAAAAAACAAAATAGGGATAAGTTTAAAGGAAGATATACAAGATCTCAACACTAAACTTTTTAAAACATTAGTGAGAAAAAATAAAGACGACCTAAATAAGTAGAAAAATAGAGGAAAAACTCACTGCTATTAAGATGAAAATTCTTACCCAAATTGATAGAGTCAATGTTATTCAATCAAAAACTTAGCAAGCTGTTTTGTATTTAAAAAAAAAATGTTAAGCTGATTCTAAACTTATATGGAAACAAAAGAAAAAGAACAAAAAGAAGAAAAGCTAGGTCAAAATGCTTTGAAAACAAGAATGGAGTTAGAAGACTAACACTATCTGATTTCAAGATTATAAAGAAGCTACAGTAAGCAACTCAAAATGGTATTTATAAGAAGATAAAAAGATTAATGAAAGAGATATAATGTCTATTTAAGTAGACTCAAATTACTTTCAACAAAAGCATCAAAATATTAAGACAGTCTTTATTTTTATTCACACAAAAAAGATTTTGATGTTTTTTTAATATTTATTTTTTAGTTGTAGGTGGACACAATATTTTTATTTCATTTTTATGTGGTATTGAGAATTGAACGCAATGCCTCAACAAGTGCTAGGCAAGCGCTCTACCACTGAGCCACAACCCCAGCCCCAAAATTTTGATTTCTATTTAATAAGACAAAAAAAATTAATTTAAGATAGATTAGTGTAAACTCTAAAACCATAAAATTTCTGGAAGAAACATAGAATATCTTTGCAACCTCAGGTTAGGCCAAGATTTCTTAGGAAAGACACAGAAAACATTAATCATAAGCTGGATTTCATAAAACCCTAACTGTTCAGCTCACTATAAAACATGTTAAAAGGAAAGCCACAGATTAATAGAAAATATTCACAATACACATCTCTGATGATGGACTTGTATCCAGAATAAAAACACCTAGAACTCAATAAATGAATTCTAAAAAACACAATTTTTTAATGGTCAAAAACTTGGAAAGACACCAAAAAGATAATATATGAATAACCAGTAAATACATTAAAAAGTGACCAACACAATTAATCACTAAGGAAATGAAAATTAAAACCACATCAATCCCTTTATAAAAATGCTCACTAAAATTACTAAAATTAAAAACACTAACAACACCAGATGCTTGCAAATAGCTGCAACTGGAACTCATACACTATTGGAACTGTAAAATGTGTAAACATTTTGGAAAACTGTTTGACAATTTCACAAAAAGGTTTACATACAACTAGGTGCACTCCAGAGGATAAAACAGAAGAATCACCAAGTTTGCGGTCAGTCTCATTAATTTAGGGAGGCACTAAGCAATTTACCAAGACTCTGTCTTAAAACAAAAAGGGCTGAGGGTGTAGCTTAGTGTCAAAGCACTCCTGGATTCAATCCCCAAAACAAGAAAAAAAAAAAAAAACACCTATCATGTTACCAAACAATCCTTAAAGTATGTCCAAGAGAAATAAAAATATACATCCATAAAAATCTTGTACAAAAATTTTATAACCAATTTATTTGTAGTAGCTGAAAAGTAGAAACAGCCCAGATATAAACAGATGAACAGATAAATTGTGACACAGTCAATGGAATACCACACAACAGTTAAAAAAAAAAAACTATTAATACCCCTGCATCACGGATTAAGTCTCAAAAATAAAAGCACAAAAGAGCAAGTGTTGTTTGATTCTATGCATGTAACATTTTAGAACAGGCAAAACCAATCTAACATGACAAAAATCAGAACTTTTTACTTTTTGGCTTAGAGAGTTGGGGGTCAACTTGGAAAAAACATAATGGAATTTTCTGAAGGGGTGTAAATGTTCTTACCTCGATCGAATGTGGATTACAAGGTACACACATTTGTGAAAATTGATTTAATTTTATACTTTAGATCTGTGTTTCATTGTTTGTAAATCTATACCTCAACTTTTAAAAAAAAAAAGAAAGATAAAAAGGACCCAGGCTTTGGGATCACACAGAGTTCAGCTCTGCCACTTACCAGCTGTGTGACCTTGGCCAAGTGTTAAACTGTCAGTTTCCTCATCTGTAAAATGGAGAAAACAAGAGAATAACCTCACAGAGCTGCCAGGAAGGGTAAATGAGATGTTTTAATAATGTAAGCATACAGTAAACGATTATTAAATGTTAACAAAAGCTACAAATTTCTGTTCTCTATTTAAGTGAAGAAAAAAGATGCAGGGATGACTATAGCAGCTAAATGCTGGGTATTCATATATATTATCTTATTTGTTTTTTAAAACAACCCCTAACAGAGATTATTACTGTTTTAGGGATGAAAAAATAGAGGTTGCTATGGTTACTCAGCAAAGAAGCAGTTATACCAGGATGCAAACTTTCACTCATGTTTTTCCACTGTCCCACACACCAGGTATTCCAGTGGGGTCACAATCCAGTAGAGTTACTTTCAGCAATTAACTCTGTAACTGTCAGGACAGCCAAATTCATATAAGAAGTTACTGAGAAGCCCCCTTCATTCTTGACAGTACTATCTCAATCCTCCTGGCTTAGCAAATCTGATGGCTTGATTGGTAAGTGGAAGAGGTAGAGCTTCAAAAAGAAGCCTAAAATGCTACTCTAGGCTTACACTCTGTTCTTGGATTTCAAGATACTTTCTGCTACTTGAGGGCATTGATATCCATTCCTTAGAGCAACTTCATAAGAGAACTCTGTGCTGGGTGTAGTGGCACATGCCTGTAATCCTTGACTCTGGAGACTGAGGCAATGGAGACTGAGACAGGAGGATCGAGAGTTCAAAGCCAGCCTCAGCAATTTAGCAAGGCCCTAAGCAACTTAGTGAGACCCTGTCTCAAAATGAAAAATAGAAAGGGCTGAGGATGAGGCTCAATAGTAAAGCACTCCTGGGTTCAATCCTCAGTACAAGGAAAAAAAAAAAGATAACTCTGATTGTGAAACCTGCACTCTAAGAAGCTAGAGCCTAGCTCAATTTGGCAGAGAGAAGTGCCTTGAAAACTTGGCACATGAAATGAGAATTAAAGGTTTTTAAAAAATATGTATTTTTCTTAATAATTCTTTTTTTAAAATGAAATCACAAAGATAGTGAGTTTCCCTGTAATCCCATTTTTCTAAAGATACCACTGTTAACGGTTCAGCATATCCTCTTCCAGACTAAAACTTGTCCTCCACACTATTTAATTACTCCCCTATTTAACTTTTGAGTTGTTTCCAAATATTTTTACTACTATAAATGCTGAAAGAAGTATCTGTTGAATATAACTACCATTTCTTTAGGATTAATTTCTAGAATAAACTGCTAAATTTGTAATTTTAAATTTTTTATTTTTAAATTTTAAACTGTTAACTGCAAAAGAACATGCACAATATCAGTTTTGATAGATATTATTAGATTACACTTATAAGAGTTTCCATTTTCCTAAACTCTCATCAGCCCTAAAATTTTTCCTTCTTTAACATAGGTGTTATAAACTTAAATGTCTGTGGACAACTAGCAGGAAACTTCAGGATGCCACATGAGTCTGTGACAAACCTGAGAGTGCATGCTTATCTAAAGAGGACAGACATTACACCACTCTGTTTCAGCAATGGATTCCACATAGAAATCCAAGCTCAATATTAGATATCCAATTTATCAAGAAAACCAGAAATCTAAATTTTTATAAAATCCCTGCAAGTTTTGACAACTAACATGCTTTCATTTAAATATCCTGGGATGGGGATGTGTGATAGTTTAATAGGGGAGTAATTAAATAGCGTGGAGGACAAGTTTTGGTCTGGAAGAGGATATGCTGACTATTAAGCTCAGTGGTAGTGTGCTTGCCTTGCACATGTAAGGCATTGGGTTCAATCTTCAGCACCACATAAATAAATAAAATAAAGGTATTGTGTCCAACAACTAAAATAAAAATCTAAGATAAAAACTAAAAATAAACATCCTGCAAGTGAGACAAAAATCTATCTATAGGGCAGACCATACTCAGCATGTTGAATTTTGTGCTGACAGAAGAAAAGGTTATAACACCATATTCTCATTTTGAATCTTAATATTCTATAGTTTATCTTTTCCTATGTTTACCAAAAAGTATGTTCAATTTTGGTTCACAGTGACTATTAACAATCTTCCAAGAAAGAAGTTTATCTTTTCTTTCATATTCATTTACAAAACTACCTCAGGTACAGACGCTGCAGTGTACCCAGAAAAATCATGTAAAGACTAACCTATGAGGGGTAAGGTATAACTCAGTGGTAGAGCACTTGCCTGGTATGAATGAGGCCATGAATTTGATCCCCTAGAAACTTAAAGGGGGAAAAAAATTCATAAGGACTACGTTGCTGTACTCTCAGCTTACTTAGAGCACCACAAGATTTTTTTAAGAAAATGCTGATTTATAAAACTATGCATAATTTGGAAAAGGGTAGCTTTGATCTAGGGTATCCTTCCACTACTGATATATTTGCCCAATACAAGAAATTTTCAATCTAAGCGACCAATTTCAGCTTTTTTGTTTATGAAATAAAGGTTTATAAGACTCTCTGATCTCTCTCTTTTCTGCTCCCACAGAAAAAACAACTGCTACAACCTATCTAGCATTAGAGTTTCTTTTCATTCCTTCTTAGTCATCCATTACAAATCTCCAGTCTTAGATGTTCAAGCATTCCCTGCACCCACCAGAGATAGTGGCAGACATCCATGACTATCCAAGGACCCAACAACCGCCTTTGAATACAACTATCTTTCCATCAATTGTAAACAAGTGCTGAACTCTTGGCTCTATACAGAGTCCCTACCAAGTCAGTATAAACTCTGAAATAGGGGCAGAGGTTAAGGGGATGAGAGTTCAGCTCAAGCTCTGGGTCTCATACTGCCCCCACCCTGTTCAAAAGAATCCTTATCAGAGGGGAACTCCCCAGCAAAGGACACATTCAGGAGACTTGATCTAGCAACAATGCAGCAGATTCAGGTGAAGTTTTAGAACCAGACTACTGAATTGTTATGAATGCTATGGAGAAAGGGAGACAGAAAGAGGAGAAATAAGGCATATTTGGGAATTTATCTTCAGGAAAGAATCTGTCTGATAACTGATGAAATAATACTGTACCTGAGCTACAAAAGATATTTCTTTGGGATCTATTGCATAGTGAATTATTCCACTTCATATCCCAAATCATCCTAATATATGCAAAAGATGCCTAAATGATATTTTTGGGGGGCAGAGGCACTAGGGATTAAACTAAGGGGTGCTTAACCAATGAGCTACAGACCCACACTTTTTCATTTTTGGAGACAGAGCCTAAGTTGCTGAGGCTGGCTTAGAACTTGAGATCCTCTTGCTTCAGTCTCCCAAGTCACTGAGATTACAGGCTTATGCCACCATGTCTGACTCAAATATTACTTTGAAAATAAAATAACCTAAATTATTCTTCTGTACATAAAAGCCCCACTATATGGGGCTGGGGTTGTGGCTTAGCTGTAGAGTGCTCACCCAGAACATGCAAGGCACTGGGTTCGAGCCTCAGCACCACATAAAAATAAATAAATAAAATACTAGTTTTTAAAAAATATAAAAGCCCTACTATATATATTAGAAATCATTATACTGCCTTAAAGTCTTTCACCATTGGCATCTGAGATTTGTCACAATCAACAAGAGAACTACAGACATTTAAAAACCTGTTTAGGCCTCACAACTCTCATCTGGTAAAATAGTGTCTTTTTTCTTTTTCTTTTTAAATATTTTTAGTTGTGGATGGACACAATACCTTTTATTTATTTATATGTGGTACTGAGACTCAAACCCAGTGCCTCACACTTGCTAGTTAAGTGCTCCACCACTGAGTCACAACCTCAGCCCAGGATAGTGTCTTTTTAAACAGGTTTTATGAGCGCTTAATGAAGAAATTCATGTTAAGTATTATATGTGTAATACTTTTACTACTCTGTAGCAAAAGCCATATCAACTTTTGTGTTGTCCTTCCTGACTAAACCAGTCCCTTGAGGGTAGGAACAGCAGTTTGGCATACAAATTAGGGAGGGAAAAAATAACAGTAACTGTGTTAAATGGACAGGTACTAAAAAACTGAACCTGAAATTAGATAGCTTCTTAGGTATTAACCCTTCTCACAACTACTGAACATATGCAAAGTACCTGGCACATAAATTCTACCCAATAAATGGTAATTCCCTTTCCCTCTCTGATATCTAACATTCAGTCTTAAGTTCATTCTCTACAACAATACTTGAACCTACATGAACTACTTGCTGAAGCCAAAAATTGTAGCAGTTTGATAACTATGAATACACCCAATAGGAGATGGAACAGAATTCAGGAATTCTAGCTAGTACCTATGGGTACACTATACTTGAATGTATGGATACAAAAGAATCTCCTTGGGATCCCAACATACTTGACAGTTGAATGCAAAGTGAGCAAGTTGGTGGTGACAGGCTATCTTAATATGAGCCTGTTTTGTTGTTGTTGTTTTGTTTTGTTTTTAAAATTTTACTCATTTATTCCACTATCAGGATCCTTGCTTGGTACAGCAAAAAAGGGCAATGATTAAACTTTCAAGTCTCTCTTTTCTTTGGCAGTGCTGGGGATTGAACCCAGGGCCTCGCACATGCTAGGCAATCACTCTATCACTAAATTACATCCCCACATGTCTTTCAAAAGGCTTATTTATCTAGGTTCTTTATTAGAATATATTTTGCTTTTTAAAGTCTGGATCAGCAAGAATCCCAAATATATAGTGTTTTTTTAAATGGTAACAGTCAGATTTTTAATTGTACAAATCCTTTCCTCAGCATACTTCTATTACACTTTGCTATTAACCAAAGAGAAAATACATAATCTGAGTACTTCTTTTAAATATGCAGTGATCCATGCCTGTGTCAGTGAACTGGGAGGCTAAAGCAGGAGGATTGAAAGTTCAAGAGCAGCCTCAGCAACTTAGCAGGACCCTGTCTCAAAATAAAAAAGAGCTGAGGATGTAGCTCAGTGGTAAAGCATCCTAGGTTTAATCCCCAGAATGAATGGATGAATAAATAAATAAGCAAGCCAGCTGGCCAGCCAAGTAGAGAGTAACTTCTTTAATCTCCTAAAGATAAAATGAGTTTGCAGATGGGCATCTGGAAGGTTATCTGCCACTAGTTGGAAGCCAAACCCTGTAACAACTAACCAGATACTAAAGAAAAACCTTCGCCAAAATGGTTAAAAGTGCACGGGCTCTGTTCCTATGACTGAACTATTTACTTGAAACAGTAATTTATACCTGCCGATAACTGGAATACAGACTAGTTTAACTGAATAAAATGCAGTTACAATAGCCCATTACTACAGACTGAGAATTTCAACACTATACTACATAGCTTAGAATAGCATATGCTTAATAGTCTTTACCATTTGCCAAGAATTGTTCCAAACCCTTTACATATATTACTTCATTTAATCCATACTAAAGCCCTAATAAAATAGAAATAAACTTTTACTGTCCTCATTTTATGGATAAAAAAACAAGACACAGAGAAATTAAATAACATAACCAAGAATGCAGAGTTAATAAATATTAAAGCCACATTGAATCCAAGCAATCTTGAGCCATAGTTCATGATCCTAATTCAGAAGTTTTTGCTTATATAAAAAGCTAAAGCACTCATTTGAAATGCAGGAGAAAAACTCTGAAACAAACTGTTCACTATGGCATTATATATAATGTCCGAAAAAGGAGAAACAATTTAAATATCCAAAAATGGAAAATGGTAAGTACATCATGGTAAAGCTATTCAGTTTCAATGAAAAATTATCCTGCCATTAAAAATATTTGTGAAAAAAAAGTTTCAAGACTTCAGACAATGGTCTCCTAAGTGGAAAAACAAACAGGATACAAAACTGCATTTACAGTATGATTCTTAATTATGAAAAAGATGAGCTCAGATACAAACTGGAAGGACATACTGTCAGATGAGAAATACTGGTTACCTCTAGGTGGTGGGATTAAGGATGCTTACATTTTACTTTTAGTGTTTCCAGAAAGAACATATATTATTCTACAAAGGCAATTACTTTCCTTTAATTAAACTGCACTAAAATCCTCAACCAGTTGGCAAAAGAACAGTTAAAAAGATCCTAGCTAACTTCAAGTGGTTGCTTTCCTTAGGATAGTATCCTGTAAACATCAGACAACTTAACACATTTCAAAAAGAATGTTCATCTTTAACTTTGGAAGTTGAACTAAAATAAGACTTTTCAATTTTGTCCAGTGTCTACTCTCTGTGTAATCATTTTAGGATATTGCAAGAAGAGAAATAGATTTCATTGCACACAAGTAAAAAAAAATTAGGGAATAACTTTGCTGATATATATAATAAAACAAAAGTTTGACTAGAGACTAGAAAGACAGCTGTTGCTAATCCAACTATTTACCCTTTGACCTTCTATCTGCCCAATAAGTGAACAGTACCAATTGTTTCCCTGTATTATGTGCTGTTTACAATCCCTGAGAGAGGCATGAAAGGAATTAATAATTTAGCCTAAAAAGCTGACAGTCTTTATTGGGGAGCCCCTTTTCTGTGGAACAGAAATCAGAACAGGAGCTGTTGTGAAGTCACAGGTCGATTTACTGTTCCTGTTTTATAGCTTAATTGGCCTCCAAACATAAATCAATTATTTCTCCTGTTTTAAGTAACAATGACTTCTATTCTTTAACTTCCCTTGTATCAAGTCAGTCCTTGTTCTCTTGAGTTTTACAACTACACGGTAAACATGATGGCTGAGGAAAAAACTGGGGGAGCAAGCCAGACTGGGGGTTATTTGGAAACAGAAGCACAGAAAGGTTATGCTGTTTTGAACTTCTCTTGACCTCTGACTGCCCTTGTCCCTAGCTTATGCTAATGGACACGGTGTATAGGGACATTTCTTGTAGAAATGAACTTAGCCTGAACCTGTGCCATAACATTGGACTCCAGGAAGCCCAGGAATCATAGGAAAGCAGCCAGAGTGTGAACAGCTGCCCATATTCCAAACATAGCTTTCCATCTGCTCAACTACAGAAAAGGTTTAAAAAAAAAAAATTATACACACACACACACACACACACACACCACTTGAATTGGACCAATTTAGTACTTGTTTCAACACATACAACGTGTTATCCCAAATCTCCATGTATAACCACTGCCAAGCACAACTGGAAATCAGCAGCAAAAATATTTCCTATTACAAAATAGGCAAGGGTGAACAGGCTTCCCTACCAGGAATTTGGAAAGGGGGTAGAAAATGAGGCTCCAAATTCCAAAAATACAACAACAACAAAAAAATCCCTATTATTCTCAATTTAATGTGCGAAAGTCATGAGGTATTAGCAAATGTTATTCCTTCCCAGTCCAAATCTACAGAACTTGCAGTATCTAAAACCATAATCAATTTAATACAACATACACACTCCATTTCAGTTTTGAGGCTTCCTGTAACTTCACAAGGTAAGCATGTCAGGCTAGGCACAGTGGCAGGTGCCTGTAATCTTAACAGCTCAGGAGGCTGAGGCAAGAGGATCACGAGATCAAAGCCAACCTGAGCAATTTAGCGAGGCCTTAAGCAACTCAGTGAGACCCGGTCTGTAAATAAAATATTAAAATAAATATTAAAACGGGCTGGGGATGTGGCTCAGAGTTTGTTAAGCACATCTGGGTTCAATCCCTGGTACCCCTCACCCCCATGAAAAATGCATGCCTAATTGTACCCCAAGACAATAAAATTTTATTTTTGCCTATTTATTGTTAATAAGATCTTTATGTATTTCTTCAAAGAGAAAGAATAAAAATACTAACTTCACCAAGATAAAAACTTAAGAATTACTGATAATACCACCCATATACACTAAATACTTTTTTAAAGTGATACTTTTGGTGACTTTCATTCTAAATTGATATATAAAATTATATCCTTCTCATGGAATGGAGAGGTCTATAAATCAGCATATTTAGCTGGGAATTGTAAACAGAAATGTTAAATGAACCAAAAAAAAAATGCTTGGGCTCAGAAAGCAGAATAATTCAACAATAATCTTTATGAGATCAAGGATCTTTCCCAAAAAATAGCAGGAGCTACTTTCAGTTGCTCCTAGGTGCATAAAATGAAAATAAATTTGGGTACTATGTCCTAAATTCAAGGTTTGAAAAGTCTCTTCTCAAATATTTCATAAGACTGTCAAAAGATGAGGGCAGGAGCTCATCATTTGTACAACCCTTGAGCCTAGAATGGGGCCTGAAGCAAAGAGAACACACAATGTTTAATAAAATGAATTTTCAGTTTATTTAGTATGTTTTATATATGATTTTCTGAAATATCACATAGTATCTCAACATCCTTCCTAGCACTCAAAAATTCTTCTAGGAAAGGACAATGACTCAAGAAAATAACTGAATTTACCTTTTCCTCCTCCTATTAAGGCTATTCGAAAGAGAAGGACAGAAAGAAAGTAATGTATTTACCCACATTTACTGGCATACTGGGGATATATGACCTATTACAGAACTAATACTGAGCTAGGCACCATGACACATGCCTATATTTTCCAGCTTCTTGGGAGGCTGAGGCAGAAAGAACACAAATTCAAGGCCAGCCTAGGCAACTTATCAAGATCCTATCTCAAAATAAATTTAAAAGGGCTTGGAATGTAACTCAGTTGTAAAATGCTTACATAGCATGTGTGAAGGTTCACTAGGTTCAATCCCCAGTACTGTCCCCTCACCAAAAAAATTTAAAAAATAAGGATTCTGAACTTTATGACTTCCAAAAAGACAAATTTTGTTTCCTGTTGTTTGATACGTACCATAGGCCTTATTTTGTTTCAGAATAGTTGAACAAATATGGATATTTATACTACAAAGGTACATGGGAAAATATGAAAAGTCCATATACTCTCAGAGTTGGTATAGCCAGGATGGTATAAGGTCCACTTTATCACTTACCTTAAGAGCAGACTGGTGACAAATGACCCCATTACCTTTAAAAAGTTCTAGCACCAGAAATAACTCTAGACATCTCATGAAGTCTTACTCTAAATCATCATTTAACCTTTTCTCATATAGCAAAATATCCATACACAGTGGATTTGCTCGTGTTTATTTCTAACAATTATATACCATATCCCAGAACTACCAAAATACTGTGTGGTACATTTTGGTAGCATGAAAAACACAAATGATTATCTTTGATCATCATTTAATTAGATCTTGAAATGGTAACTCTTAAACCTGAAGAATGTAGATGCAAATGCTTTACAAATTAAACTGGTACAAAGTTATCAATTATAAATTTTTAAATGACAAATAATCTTTCTTTGAAATAAACTGTGAAAACTAGTCAATATTTTAGAAAAGAGATGAGTTGTGATATATGGTTGAGATGTGCACATAAGAATGCATACATTTTTGTTGTTGTTGCCAGTGTCATAGGAGGATGAGGAACAGAACAAGGAGATTAGTGTTAAGTAGAAACTTGAAGCAAACCAACTTTCTATGAAATGAATAGATCCTAGCTATCAAACAATATATGGATAGCCAGGATCTATTCATTTCATAGAAAGCATTGTGTTGTGTCCAACTACACCTAAAATAAATAATAAATATTTTTAAAATATATATATGGAAAAGAAAAGTCATCATTAGAAAATACAGAATGTCATTCCCATAATTACAAATTAAGAGCCAAACTATAGAAGGTTTATCAATGACATATTAAGTTATACATTTAAAAGCATACACACACATCCTTTCCTTACCAACAAACATTGGGTAACAATTGGAACTTACTAGTGCCTGGATCAAGCTCTGACAACTCATCCTGACAGAAACCTAAAGAGAAAGAACAGGAAAAAAAGATTATGATTCGTGAATTATTGTAAGCTAACTTCAAATATGAACTATTATCAAAGTGGGGGGGAAATTCAGAATGGAGAAAACAGCACTTACTACACAGTTGCAAGGAGGATTAGGGAAATAGCAATATAAAATGCTAAGCACAACTTATCACACAGTAGGAGCTCAATAAGCAGTAGCACAAGTAATTATGAGTAAGCATGCCAATGTCTGTTAGAATAAAAACACATAGGAAAATTACACTTCATTTCAGACCTGTAATGTTCTACTTAAAAAAAAAAAAATTCTTTCCCAAAGAAAGAAATAAGAGCTTCTAACAAATATCAAACAAAACAATTTTATTTAAAATTTTCACAGATGCTGAAAATTTGACCCATTTATACACATGGAAGCAATTCTTCCATAGTAAGTGCACTGTTTAAGCTAGAGGTATATCTGAGTGGCAAAGAATGAGGCATCCTGGACAGCGTATGGAAGGCCTGAAAAAGGAGACTGAATGTGAAACTCCACAAAGTTCTAAAGCTGCTGAGAACAGCTGAGAAGCCTGGGAAAGCTCATCTCAGAGCCATTTTAAAGTCTCTCTGCATACAAATAATGGAAATTTGAAGATCCCTGGAGAGATTCCAGGTATCAGTCCACTCAGGCTGCTATAACAAAATACTATAAACTAGACTGGGTTAATGACGTCATGACAGGATCCCTGTCCCAGGTCCTGCCTTTATAATTTGAAAAGCCGGCTCAGTACAAAATGAAAACATGGTGCCTATCATCTATAGATTTATTCAGGAACTGGAGATGTACCTCAATAGTAGAGTACATGACTGAATTCAATCTCAGCACTTAAAAAAAAAAAAAAGAGGGAACTGGGGTTGTAGCTCAGTGGTAGAGTGCTTGCCTAGCACGTGTGAGACACTGGGTTCAATCCTCAGTATCACATAAAAATAAATAAACAAAATAAAGGCATTGTGTCCATCTACAACCAAAATTTAAAAAAAAAAAAGAATTTCAATTTATGTATTCAAGTTTGGGAAGGATAAACATTCGGACACAGCACCTGGTAATGAGGAAATAACTAACTCATCATTTACACGTTCACTGAATACTCAATATCCTGCCAGAATTAAAACAGAGAATACTCATTCTCCTAATCCATAACTGACCTAAAAACAGAGTGATATCACGGGAAGGTATGAAAGGACAATGGGAAAGACAGATACCACCCCCAACAGATTAACTCCAGTCACTTTTAGTTATATGACCTGAGGCAAGTCACTGCCTACTATGGGCCTCAGATTATAGACATTAAATAAAACATCTATGTCATAGTAATTTTTTTCTTTCATTTTTTTGTGGTGCTGGGCATTGAACCCTTGTGGATGTAAGATAAGCACCCTACCAACTAAGCTACCTCCCCAACCCTAAATAAAACATCTATATTAGAAATATCAACAAAGGACAAAGCTTAATGTTCCTTCTGAAGCATTCTGAACTCAAAGCAACTAGACTGATCATAAAGAGAAGGTAACTCAAAAACAAAAAAAATACTAATAATGCTCATTATTGATAATAATGACATCTATTGCTTTAATCTGCCTAGCAATCATTCCCTCCTTCTGTTAATGGCACCCTAATTTTTCTTTGGAGACTTCCACTCCCACGTCCATATGACTGACCCTATCCTTCCTATAAACTGGGATTGACAACAGCAGCTATCTCATATGGGTATTAAAAGGATTAAATGAGATAGTGCATGTAAAGACTTTGCACAGTACTTACAGAGCTCAACATATGTGAGCTACTGCTAACTAATTCCTAGGGATCCATTCAATTTGATGCTGTGACTGTGGGGACAAAGTGTTCATCATAAAAGGGCAACTACTGAGCCATTCATGACATTGAATGGAACCCTAATAATGTCACCTTAGGTAACCACTCTAATCCTTAAAACCTGTTTTTATATTTTCAGCTTTAAAACTATTTGATGTGATGATTCAAGATGTTTGCTACTCCCTGAGGAAAGGTCTCTATATTTTACCTGAAATAAATTTCTTCAAGAGTCACAAAATGTTCTAATTATGGAACTCGGTAACTGATGTCCACATTTCCACCATCTCATCCTGAGATAATCAGCTAAGAATATCTCTGATTTTTATAGAAAACAACATAATTCTACCTACAAACCAAACATTTCTAAATCAGTGCAATGGGCAGATTTGGTTACCAATCCCAAGCAGAATCTACCCAGACTTCAGCAACCAGATCTAGCTAGCAAAATTCTTTTGTTTGTTCCTAAAAGGATACAAACCACTGCTAGACATAATCCCAAATGCACTTCTTCAGGTAGGTTCAATTCAAAGGCAAAAAGTATCAATTATTCAGTAGAAAGCAGACACCTAATCCCAATAAGCATATAAAATATCCCCCCAATGCCATCTGCTTCACAGAATACACTACATTAAACATATTAGAAAATATTATCACAAATCCATGGTCTCTAGCTGGGACCCTAAATTGCTTTCCAACAAGAAACACAAATATATTCCTAAAATATCATGAATTCATTGTACACACAAGATATCTGAAGTTACAGTGTGATTTGCCACTGTTTAATTAACCACCCTAAGCCTACCTCCTGAAATGGGGATGAAAAATAGCCATCATGTTTATCTGCTATGATTTGGTGAGTATATGTAAGTGATCAATGAATGCATTGAAGTTAAGGAACCCTCTTTAATACAAGAGAAGGTTCAATTGACAAGTTTCTCCTAATAGGCATCTGACAAAAAGACCAATGACTCCTTAGACTGTGACTGGCTACAGTGACAGATTAGAGTCACCGATTTTTTTTTTTTAACTACAAAACTACTTAGGAGAAACAGTTAAAACTTTTGAGTAACTTTTTCCAAATGTAAACAAATAAAGGCTATGGGTCATGACCATCAACAAATTCAGGCCTAAAACAATAGCTAAACTATGCTTTATAATGTATCTTAAAAATTGAAGTCAATGTTAACTCAAGGAATGTTTTATATGTATTCATTTATTAATTACCACAGTACTGGGCATTGAACCCAGGGATGCTCTACTTCTTGAGTTACATTCAGTCCTTTTCAAGTTTTATTTTGGAGCAGGGAGTCCATCCTCCTATCTCAATCTCCCAAAATTGCTGGGATTACAAGCATGCACCATCACAACCAGAAGGAACGTTTTGATTTATTCTGACTAGAGGAAGGTGGTATAGGACAAATGAGCATTGGATCCTAGTTACTCAGTATATTTTGAAATTGAGCAGTCCACAGTGAGAGTTAGGGTGAGACCCTTAAAAGATAAATTCTATAATTCTATTCAAACACACATTACACACACACACACACACACACACACACACATTATAGTTGAGACAGGAGGATTGCAAATTCAATGCCAGCCTCAGCAACTTAGAAAAGCCCTAAACAACTTAATGAGACTAGGTCTCAAGATAAAGGGCTGGTGATATAAGTGTGTGTGTGTGTGTGTGTGTGTGTGTGTCCGTCCCCTTCATAATCTGCCTACCATTTCAACTTTATTTCTTGCTTTTCACCACATCCCAAACAACAGTGTACACTCTATCCATAATGAAGTACACTGAGGCTCCCTGAATTCAGTATGTTCTTCAGCATCCATTCCTTTGCACATGCTATCTTCTCCAACTAAACCCACCTCTAATCACCACTCTAAGATCAGACTCAGATCAGGTCTCCTCAGTCTTGCCCCTGCTATACACAGTTTGGGTTAGGCCTCATAGAAACAGTAAATTAGAACTTAGCTTTTCTAAAGGGAGGGAAAACTGGTTTCAAGATCATAGAAACATTAAAATAATCTACAAGTTTGAAATTTAAATATTTTAATTAAATGCAAGATAGAATATTTCACCCAAACCACTGCAATTCAAGTTTTATATTGTTTTTTAAATATTTTTTAGTTATACATGGACACAATATCTTTATTTTATTTATTTTTATGTGGTGCTAAGAATCAAACCCAGTGCCTCACATGTACAAGGCAAGCACTCTGCCACTGAGCCACAACCCCAGCCCCTCAAGTTTTATATTGTTTTCAATGTGAGATATAAAAGTGACTAGGGAGCTGGGGTTGTGGTTGAGTGGTACAGTGCTTGTCTAGCATGTGTGAGGCACTTGGGTTCTATTATCAGCACTGCATATAAATAAATTAATAAAATAAAACTCCATCAATGTCTAAAAAAAAAAAATTTTTTTAAAGTGAACCAGAAGCCAGGTACAGTGGCAAATACCTGTATTCCCAGAGACTTGGCAGGCTAAGACAGGAGGATTATAAGTTCAATGCCAGCCTCAGCAATTTAGCAAGGTCCTAAGCAACTTAGTGAGAGTAGGTCCCAAGAAAAAAAATTAAAAGGACTGGGGATGGGGCTGGAGTTGTGTCTCAGAGGTAGAGCACTGGCCTAGGACAGTTGAGTCCCTAGGTTCGATCCTCAGAACCACATAAAAACAAATAAACAACAACAAATAAATAAAGGTTAAATTCTTAAAGAAAAAAAAAAAGGACTGGGGATTAACTCAGTGTGTAAAGCACACCTGGGCTCAATCCCCAGTACCCCAAAAAATAAACAAATAAATAAAGTAAAAATGAACCCAGGCTTCCAAGAATAAAATAGTCAATTATCAAAAAAAGATTTTGATTTACTCTGTTTAGTTTTGTGCTCCTCTTCTATGCTCCCACAGGCTTCTGTGCTTTCTATACCACATCATGATCAGGCCCATTAGAACCCAAATTCTCTAAAACCTAAGAATCTAGAAATTTATTTTTTTGGCTCCCCTAAAAAAAAAAAAAAAAAAACCCACTTTACCCAGGATTTCTACTGATATACAATAGTCACATGTTGGTCCTTTCTGGACCAACCAGCTCTGATCAGTTTTATCAATTCTCACCTAATCTTAATTAGGTCTCCAGTGAAACTA